TCCCAAAAACGAAAAAAAAAAAGTTTAAAACCCTTTTGTTAAAATTTTAAAAAAAAAAAAAAAAAAAAAAAGTCAAGTTTTTTTTTTTACCTCCTCAGGTTTCACATCTCTGGTGGTGAAATCTTTGACACAGTCCATGAAGCAGTTCTCCGTTACTTTGTTGTAAGTCCCCAAAAACTCTTTGAACTAAAAGTTGAGCAGAAAATACACTTGTCAGAAGCAAACCATTATTTTCCCAACTTTTACCTCATGCTGAGAAGAGTTAAGCCATTTAACTGAGAAGAGTTAAGTGGCTGTATAAAAAGAAAAGACACTGAACATTTGAGTGATTTTCTCCAAACGTTCTCTTAGTGGAGAGAAAAGTTGCTCTTTAGCTGTATGAGTTACAGACCTAGTACTTTTGTGGAAAAAAGAGCAGGAAGTGTGACAGGCTATGAACTTTAAAACCTTATTTCCTTCAGTTTCTTATTTCTAAAAAACATTTTGTTCTATTCTAACTTCTAAGAGTGATTTCAAAACCTGGCGTGTTAATCCTCTAACTGGAACAGGAAAGATTAGAGATTCACTAATTGCTGTTTTCTGGCTGATTGCAGATATTTTTAAAGGCCTGACCCGCCCATTCAGATTTTGACCAATACCAATTTGTTTTGCCTGAAAATTTGCTAGGTATACCAAGAAAGTCAATAAGTTGGCAACAGTGTGGCGACTATTGTTAAGTGAGCATGTGCAGACATAATCTGGTGGGCGGGTCTGACTGTTAGTCCTCAAAAGGGGACAATTGCTGATTTTCAGAGGTAGGTAAGATCAGTGGATAGGATCGTGTTAGTATCGGTTCCAAAAATGGAAAAAATCAGGGCTGATCAATCGGTGCACCAATTTTTAATGAAGGACTGAAGGTCATCATACAGTCAGACTCACACAGCAGTTCAGTCCACATCTACTGTCTGCAGAACAAGACCCAACTAAGGACACCTTATTTTGCTAAACTGGAAACTTGGACTTAAAGAGTACAAGTGGAAAACAACAGGACTGTAGTCTGTGTATGATTACATTACTTATAGATGTAATAACATTGTTTTTCTATTCTATGGTGTGGTGGTACTATTGTATCTTACCTGTTTGATCTGGTCAGACTCAGTCACCTGTACGGCCATAGTTCACAATCTGAAGAAAAAAAACGTGGCAGTCACACCAGCCTTATTCAATAACTATCCTGTACATCCACACACAGTAACTCCACTGCTGTCAGGAGGAAATGCTGTAAATATCCTCATTCTACACGAGCATAAGCTTTCTGATGCATAAAAATCCTCATATTATATAAATGATACTAGATTTGATTTCCACTTGGGTATTTTTTTAATTAATATTCACTATTCTTTCGCAGGGACATTCTCGGTTTGCTGCGATGACTGTTACCTGTGTGTGTGTGTGTCCGTGCTGGGCCCACGCTGGTAATGGGGAGGCCTCTCCGTGTGTGATGCAGAATCTTTTGAAGGGCGAAAAGACGAACACGGCCGCAGATTCTCTACAAAGCTTTAAACACATTCATTCCAACTGAAACACACTGTTGGTACAGCTATAAGCCTCACACTCACAGAACTGCAACAAGGTTACAACTCTAACAGCATACCATGAGGAAACCTGTCTTCTTGTGTTTTACGGCGGATGGCAAATCAACTATGAGCGCATTATCGCCACCTATTGAAAGGGAGGGTGAACAAGAAATAACAGCAAACAAAAAGCTTAACCAGGGAACATTATGGTTTAAAACAAAAAGGGCAACCAACTAAAATCCCTAAATGAGTCTAAAACGTATGGACAGATTCTTTTTGATAATAAAGAATTGCATTTCTACACAGAAGCAACTAAAGTAGAGTAGTTTTTCCT